GCGTAACCACCCCTTACTAAATCATGCATGCCACCACAAAACACTGTTTTCAATGGACAGGAGCACGCTCGCATCGCTCTGGGTGATTTCAAGTTACTGTGTATCTGTTAACGGTTTTAAAAACTATTTTTGACATGACTTTCAGTTGTTCTGTGCACAAAACTACATTTTCCTTGTGCTCCGGTCATGTGCTCTTCTTGTTGCTGACTGTGACGCTGAACGACAGTGTTGTTGTTTAACGCCGCACTCAACAATATTCCAGCTATATGTCGGCGGTCTGTAAATAATCGAGTGTGAACCAGACAATCCACTGTTCAACAGCATGAGCATCGATCTACGCAACTGAGATTGTACGATGACATGTATCGAGCCAGCGAGTCTGACCACCCGAACCCGTCAGTTGCCTCTTACGATAATCATGGGTTGCTGAAGATCAATTCTGACCCGGTTTTTCACGGGTGTTAAGGACACAATATTTGCTTGTGGGCATATCTATGAAGAAAATGAAGCTATACATGAAATGCACATGTGGATTCATGCTCAGTCATCACTCTATAGATCTCTAAGACCATGAATACGATACATGTAATTTGTGAATACATTATATGAGAAGCGCTGACACTGAGAAGCACCGCAATGTTTGTGAAATGAGTTGAGTATAGAATGAATCACTACTCATCTCCAAATATCCAACTTAACGTGTTAATCCGAAAACTGTTATGTACATGAAACTACCATAGTCGCATTGTAAATGGTAATCAATAGGTCAAATATACATAGGTACGAAACCAGGGAATACTGCAACAGTATACTGTGGCTGCAACATTAATCCTACAACGAATTACTTCAACGAGTATCTGAACAAGCGTTATGTGGCAGTGTGGTTCATTGTAGAACAGTGTTGTTATGGTATTACAATGCTTGGTAAAGATCCAGTAGAGGGCAATGGTGTGCGTAACTACATTTTTGTAAATTTAGAAGGATTGTACTACCACTTCTTTCAGATTCTCCTGTTCCTTCCCCCTGTTTTAGTATCTCTCTGATGTCAATGTCAGGGAGGATGTATAGACTTAACTATTTCAAACATCTCTTTGAGTGATCACACAAAACTGAGTTCATATCATATTGTAGAAAATACATAATTGCTTCTTGCGTGAGACAAATTTATACGTACGAAGAAATGAACTGCGTGAACACACCGTCTTTTAATAAAGTCAATTTATGCGTTATATAATAAGCAGCAAAAGAGACGTCAGTTTGGAATTTTCCTTCGCAGAAACGGATAACTGTAAACTCTTTTAATGTTTTGATTGTATATTTTTGACATCTCCAACTTTACCTGAACAAAGTCATCATCTCCAAACTCAGAATTTCACCCAGGAAATGGCCTCAAAAACGCAATCTGACCTCGGAAATGGTACAGTGTTCTCCATGTTTTTCATGCAGCTCATACTGCACGTGCTGTTCACAAGAACCAGCCCTATAATGCACCCCCAAACATGGTTGAAACATTCACAGTACAACGTCAGCAGGATGCCGCGACTCACGACAGCTCAGAGGAAGCAGGCGCTAGGAAGACTTGAAGCTGGTCATACTGCACAAGCCGTTGCCAATCACTTCCTGGTCAACGTTCTGGCCATCTACAGGATGCAGCAACGTTTCTGGGCCACCAACACCACAAATGATCGCCCCCGTACTGGCAGACCAAGGGTGACCAAAAGACAACAAAACCGCCATGTTATGCGACAGCATGTACAGAATCCCTTCATGCAGGCATCCGAAACATGGCCAGCGTTACTCAGACCAATGTGTTAGGGAAAGAGACTCACTGGGAGGTGCAAGCATCATGGTATGGGGTGGAATAGGCCTGAACCAGAGAGTGGGTCCTGTGGTTTTCCAGAACCTCCAGGGAGAGTAGGCGGCATCACAGCGGTGCGCAACATCGACCAAGCTCTCAGAACCCACGTCATACCACATTTCGCACGTCACCGGAACAACATTTTCCAGCATGATAAGGCCCGGGCCCATACTGCCAGAGCTACATGGGACTTCCTACAGCAGAACGGTGTCAACAATATGCAGTGGCCAGCCCTTAGTCCTGATTTACACCCAATTGAACATCTTTGGCATCAAATTCAGAGGAAACTGAATAATGTCATACCAAGGCCGAACACAGCCGATTTATTGCGCCAGGCCTTTCTCAGAGTGTGGTTCCAGGTGCCAATGGCCTTCATCAATCGATTGGTGCACTCCATGCATAGACGCTGTGCTGCAGTTATTGCCACTCGTGGTGATCACACTAGATACTGAAGTCGAGAATCTGAATGGACTGCAAACGTTCACGTAATGTCTTGAAATTGTGCTGAGTTATTCATGGGTGTGTCAAGATATTGTACACCAACAATGTTTTGATCCGTTTATTATGTCAATTTCTGTAATGGTTTGATTACAGTGCCTATCTAATTTTGACTTCGTACTGACGTTTTGTTTGCTGCTGAGTATATTAATGCTGTCCCCAAATATTTCTTTAAAGATTTGGATAAATTTAGATGTAAGTGTTTCTTCTCAATCCTCTGTGATAAACTAGTAACGAATTCTATAAATTAGTATAAGTTTACCCAATCTGCATCCTTCTGCAAACTGTTGGAGATGCATATTTACATTCACCTAGCGGATTATTTGCGTTCTCAGATCAATATCAGTATCAGCTTATCAGTAAAGAGAATGCTATTTTCATAATAAACACAATGTTAGATTTGTTAGTCCAATATCTCGAGCTATTTAATAATTCATTCCATATTAAATTCCAGATTTCTGGTAAGTCGGTATAATTGTTCCATTGCCCCGATCGACTGATAATATTAAGAGTGAAATAATTCCTAAATATATTTGTTTTTGAATCTGCATATAGCCTTGTCCTACTGCACAAGCAAGGGTCAACCAATTATGTTAATGATTACTTCTCATAGCATTTACATACATATAATGGTAGTCTTCTGGTATAATGGTGTAGACATCATAAGCGCATCACGGGCACGGGAATTTAGAATATGGAATTCAGCTGTAAATGATATATTCATTTTACAGTCAGTTCTGCAGTAATTCTGAACTGACACAACCTTTATGGAGCCACAAATGATACTGTTTTGTTCCTGCTAAGTACTTTAACAATTGGTAATACAATTACTAAAAAATTCTGTCGGTTCCAACTTCAATGATTAGTGCAATTTCAGTGTTGTTGTCATGACAATGAATGAAGAGAAACGTCGTTCCTCTGGGTGGGACTGTTGGCATTAATCACAACTCCTCAGCACACCGTTTTATCGGAGTGAGGCCATATGGTCAAGTATGTATCCAGAGCCTCTAGACATCTGAAGGTCATATTAGAACACGTGGCTTGAACAATAACTTCCCAATATCAGTCGGGATGATGTCAGGGTAGTGCGCACCTGTAAATCTTGACAGATGGCAAATTACCGTGATAACAATATCAGGACTTGCTGCTCATAGCAGGACCCTGAAATTGACTAACGATAATGTCTCCAAAGCCTGCACTGGGCAATGGCCTGTCGTTAGTGTTGCTGACACATAACCGTCAATGTCTGCTGGCGTGGTTAGAGCTGTACATGCACTCTCCTGATTTGACTGCGCCAGAGTTCCAAACCATATATAGACGGAATTGCATAATACTGAAATATGTTGTGGAAATTACTTGATGTCATGTGGAGGTATGTGAACACAGCCTGGCGTCAAGTGAGCTGATTGTTTTACTGTGTCGAGTCAGTAAGTCATAAATGTAGGATAATGATTATGTCACAAAACATAACAACTATCTAAACCTAATTTAAGGGTTACCTTAACAGGTTTGCGGGTCATAGATCCCTTTAAAAAAACGTCTACAGTAAATCTTTGTTTGTCAAGTAGGTCAGAATGATATCTCTCAATGAGGACGTCACCCCCTTACACGATTCGCTGTTTAGGTACAATAGCTTCACACATATGAGAAACGTATCCTCCCATTCAGGAGTGAACTGTATGCGTTATTTCAAACTGTACAACCCCTCAGTAGATTAAGGGTTATGTACAAGAAAGTACATTCCTAATTCTATTAGGATGGAAATGTAATGAGAGTGTGATTTCAGATGAAACGAATATCAGACATAAATCATCTGCATTAACGATACGCCTTTCTACATACCATAGAAACAGAAACATAAGTAGGCATTATGCATTTATACAATGAGAGTCATGAACAACAATTAAAAGACTATGAAAGATGTGCATCTATATTGCCTTATTTTGCCTCTGTTTTTCGTCTTGTACTATAAATATAGTTTCTGGATGAATGTAGAACCATTGAGATTGCATGCAACAAGGAACGATTCGTTATCATTCTTGTCTGTGAAGATGACTGCCGTCGTTCTTGACAACGGATCTCTTTTGTGTAAGGCCGGGTTCGCCGGTGGCAAAGTACCCAGGGCTATCTTCGAAAATGTTGTTGGCCGCGCCAGATACCAGGTAAATGCTTTAATTTAATTTATTGGACTCACTAAATGTGTCAAGGGAACCAAAGTGTAGTAGTAGCACATGTGATACATGTGGTCTCATCTTAGGCAAGTGAGGTTATAAAAGAATGTCTTTGTTTACCTAGCAGAAAATGGGTACCCGGTGGGATAAGTCATGTGACTATAACCTTCTAGTGCTTCACAGACAGCTTGGGTTATCCGGGGTAATAACCAACTGTCTGTGCTATAAGCATGCTGTCTATGTGGATTTAGCGCAATATTAATGCACTAATTATTATTATTATTATCAATTAGTATGTGTAATTGAACTTTTAATTATCCATATGGTGGAACATTAGTCATGTCATATTTTCAATATGTGCACTAGTGCACATATCAATTTTGCCTAGCAACCATTGTTTCCGTAGGGGTGACAAGACTTTATGGATGATCAACTTTCTTTATTTTGACGTCTCGGTATAGATTCTTATACCGTTTTCAAGCACATGGGGGGATGAATGAGTACACCAGTTTATATACAAGATAAGATAAAGAGATAACAGTAACAAAGGTGGGGAAACAAAGCATGACAGAAAGGTACATGATGAGCTACAATAGCATGATGATGAGCTTAGATAACATGAATGAGATGAGTGGGATCATCATGACAATTAGTGACTGTAAGTTAATTAGGCAGAAGCCAAGGTGGCGGGGGGATTAATTAATTACACTCAGCCTAAATTGGCTGATGCATTACAAATACGCCCTTTCAACCCTTCTATTAACAGGGATCAGGGCTATTACATCCCATCAGCTTACAACCACTTAATCCACTAATAATTATCCACTCAACCCACCCTGGCTTCTCATCACCTGCCTCACCACTGGCTTCCCACTAATAAATCCCCCCACCACCTATATATTTAGAACGGAAAATATGCAAATGCCCTTGTAGTTGTCGCAGGATTACACTTGACGAAGTAAGTTTTGATTTGTGGAAGATGCTGTGGCGGTAGGGGTCATACTAATTTAAAAATGTTCCAGAACTTACTGCAAAGATTGATACTTTGATATTTCTACGATTAGACATGACATTCCAATGAAATAAATTAATTTTTCAAGAGCGATGAATTTATTTTACGTAATTTGCATATGAAAACAGCCGATGCGGGCCGTGATATTTCCGCTTTGCCAATGTTTTATTTGCGATAATAGGGAGTCCCGGTATACATTTTTTGGCTAAAAAGTCTAAAGTCTAAAGAAATGCTGAACTCCCTCATAGATTACACCGTGAAATTGACCGCCTCCGTGGTGTAGTGGTTAGAGCGTCCGCCCGGAGAGCGGAAGGTCGCGAGTTCGATCCCCGACCGCGTCATACCAAAAGACGTTAAAATATGGTACTTGTTGGTCCCTGCCTTGCGCTCGGCATTAATGGGTACATCAAGGACTGGTCGGCTCGGAGTCAGTATAATGTGTCTGAGTGGGGTATTCATGCCTCACTGCGGCATGGTATCTCAGTGGGCTAGCACTATAAAACCAGCTTCAGTTTGGGCTAGTACAAGCAGAGGCACATACACATACACATACACACGCATGCACGTCATCATATGAGCGAAATATTCTCCAGCACGACGTTAAACCCAATTTCACCTCACCTCACCTCACACCGTGAAATTAGGGTAAAGGACATCGAGGAAAGATGAAGGAATCCCAATGGGCACCAGCTATCCTCCCTTCTTCGTTGATCTGGTTTTTGTTACGCATTCGAGTTGGACGTTTTACACAGAAATTAGAACTATAGAATTTGGCCAAGACGTTTCAACAATTGACTTACATGTGTTTGGGGAATGATCCAATCAACTTTATCACTATTTCAAGGTCAGTCATAAACACGTGATTATGGAAGAAGTAGAATTGTACAATGAACTATGGTTATGGAAATGGGGTTTTGTCACTTTTTTCAAACTTAAAGGGCAAGTTAACACGAAAATACACTTTTTTGTCTTGCACTTTTTCATCATAAAAAAAAAGTTGTCAAGCAGTCTCTTAGCCAAACCCATACATATATCAGAAGAAACTGATTTACTTTTTTGCGTTATATCGATTAATATTTTCCACATTAAGCGAGAGTTCCATGTCCACAATAAACACACCATGGCTTATGTCCCTTGGAAATGACGTCATTGGTGCCAGACTGATAAACGAATGACGTCGTTAGACCCTATTAGACCCATTTCACGTGGTGCAGGTATAGGTGTGGTTCTTGTGGTTCGATGCGCAGGCTACTGTATTAATCCACCTGTTGCCTGGCTGACTGCTGGCTATGTGGTCAGTTCTACACTGTGATGACGTATACATTGTACAAAAAGTGCTACCACGTAACCAAATTGTATGACGTCTAACGAAATTTAGCAGATTGTATACTGTGTATCCGATGGCCTAGATGTTGCATAAACTTGCTCATTAGTTATAGAACATGCATGGGAAAGGCATCGTAGCAAGCGATAGTTAAATGGCATAGGTGTATTCCCATGATTTCTTAGATGCATCACAACATTATAGGTTCTGAAAGTGTGACGCCATGACTGACGCAAACTCACGCACACCGACGATAGTACTTCTCCTCATTTCCCTTGGTCACAATGAGGTTATGAATAAAATACACACGATCTATCTGTCCTGCTGCTTACATTTTAAATTCTTACTCTTCTTTCGTAGTTTTTCACGTGATTAATTTTAGTATTGTTATCTTTTGATTTGGGACTAGACAGGAGACCAGTCTAAAATCAAGTGGCACAAATTACGTCATAATCGAAGGGCAGTAACTCTGGCCTATTTAGCTCAGCAAACAAAGGCCACATAATGGCATAACATTTCAGCGCTCTTAATGAGGGTTATACTTTCATTGTAATAAAAATGAATGCATATTGTCAAACAATGATACTAACTTATTAAAGAAAAGCTATTTTGTTTCGTATAAGAATAAATGTGACGGTTTCGTGTACACCTCTCCTTTAATTACAGATGTGATAATTACGCAGAGTCCATTAAAATATTATTTTTTTTCAGGGATTTCTTAGCGGTATGCAGCAAGAGGCCTTTGTTGGTAAAGATGCTATTAGCCGTCAAGGAATTCTCACACTAAACTACCCTGTCAGTCACGGCATAGCTACAAACTGGGTAGACATGGAGGTAATATGGCGTCACACTTTCGATAACGAGCTCCACGTTGCTCCCGAAGAACATCCCGTGCTCTTGACAGAGGCTCCACTGAGCCCCGGGGTTAACCGAGAACCTATGGCTCAGATTATGTTTGAAACCTTCAACGTCCCATCAATGTATTTGGCCAATCAAGCTGCTCTGTCGTTGCACGCTTCTGGTCGTACTACAGGCTTAGTGGTCGACTCAGGGGCCGGTGTGACCCATACTGTCCCTATCGTTGATGGTAGAGTTGTTGCTGCTGGCGTCAGCAGGGTTGATATCGCTGGTATTGATGTCAGTGACTTCTTGATGAAGTTACTTACAGAACGGGGTCAATCCTTTGCTACTACTAACGAGCGAATGATCATGGATGAAATCAAGAAAAGCCAGTTGTACGTGGCCCTCAACTATGAGCAGGAACTGGCATCTTCCACCACTTTGAAGGGGAGCTACGAACTTCCGGACGGGGAATTAATCACGGTGGATAAAGAGAGGATCCGTTGTCCAGAGGTTCACTTCAAGCCATCATTTATTGGTAGTGGCCAACCGGGCATCCATACGGCAACATACAATTCAATCATGAAGTGTGACGCTGGCATCCGCAAAGATTTATATGCCAACGTCGTTCTCTCGGGTGGCAGCACCATGTTCCCTGGTATGGCTGACAGGATGAGGAAGGAACTGACAGCCCTTGCTCCATCAGCGACAACTATAAATATCATAGCTCCTCCAGAGAGGGAATACTCCACCTGGCTAGGGGGCGCCATGCTCGCCTCCAAGTCCAACTTCAAAGATGTGAGCATTAGCAGGCAGGAATACTTTGAGACAGGCCGATCCATTGTGCACACAAAGTTTTGAGGCCCAAGTCTGCTCAAAAAGTAGTGTCCCAAGTTGAATTAAAGCAAGTAATACCGAATGCAGTGGTATCACGATATGTACTTTTTCGTCTTATGTTACCCTCTGAATTTAACTGGAAAGTTGTATTTACTCGGAGCCTTTCATGTACACCCGCATATCTGCATACCGTAAATGTTGTTCCAATAAAATAGTCTGCCTCGAGATGTGTGGATGTTTTCACATTAATCATTTGTCACTAAGTTACTGAGAAACTAACGTGTTCATTAGACACGTTTTTCGAGGTGTACAATTACACGTCTCAGAATCCTGACGATTTCATGTTGGCATTTCTTACGACAGTACCGATGTTCAGTTACCCCAGAATGACACTTCTAATCATCAGAAAAAATGGAACCATGATTTTTCCTGAATCCATATGCAATACTGCTTACAATTATCAGTGGTTCCAACAATTAACATGCACTTTCATCGGAAAATATATTGGCTACATAAGCCCATGCACTATGCATGCACTATGCAAGTGCAATGTTCAACAACAATCTCCTCTCATTGTCCAGAGCTTGAACGTAAGCAAGATATATATTACGTCCGTTTCCGACGGTTTACTGAGAGTGTTGGAAACATGAAGTAGTTGACAATGTTTGTTTAAGATTTTTGCTTCGGTTTTTAAGTCAGAAAATAAACACTCATGGCCTCGGGCATTCGATCCACGGGTTTTACACTCCTCATAGTGTTCAAATGTTGAAGAAATCCCCAGCAATAGTGACGTCATATATATCATCATCTGTCAAACCTGTGACTCCGATTGCAGTGTTGTCGCGGACGTGGATCAGTAGCCTGAGGAGACACAGACCCTCAGGTAGTACGGATCCACTTGTTAACATAACTCTCAGCTCGGCGTATACTCACTGTTACTCAGCCTTTAATAGTGATACTGGCACTGTCCACAGTGGTGGCATTTACATATCATCAATAGTATGTTTTCTTTGATTTGTAGAACACTATAACCCAGTGTCTAAAAATGGATTTGATAAAAAAAACGTGAAGATCCGAGTTAGAATTGGTCTTCAGTAACCTATGCTTGTCGCAAAAGGCGATTAAAGGAATCGGATGGTTAGGCTTGATGACCTGGTTGACACATGCCATCGTATCCCAATTGTGTAGTACGATGCTCATGCTGTCGATTGTCTGGTCCAGATTCGATTATTTACAGACCGCCGTCATATAGCTGGAATATTGCTGAGAGCGACGTTCAACAACAATCAATCAATCAATATAAAAAAATAATTGACAGAACCATTGAAATACTGACGTGCAACAGAACCTTTCTCTTCTTTGATATTGATTATATTCAAAAGCAACAACAACGAAGTGAAAAGTAAACGGTTTACTCTTTTAACAAATCATTTACACACGTGTTAAACACAGAATTTCGAAATCAAAACAAACTATTCAACCGATGCACATGAAATTGTACACATGGGCTCAAAATAAGAGATTTCCCCAACGATTACAACAGAGGAACAGAAATAATGAGAAATGTGAATCCTATAATAACGAGTATGTCCACCCCTGGCCCGGATGCATGAATTAACACGTCTCATGACTGAAGTGGTCAAGCGTCTGATGACGTCAGCAGGGATACGCCTCCATTCTTCGACGAGGGCCTGTGCCAGCTCCTGTCTTGTAATTGGCGGATTCTGTCCCCGAATCTGTCTATCGAGTTGATCCCATAAATGTCCGATAGGTGACAAGTCAGGGAGCGAGCTGGCCATGGCAAAACGTTGACATTGTTGGCGTTCAGAAAGTGCTGTACAGTCCTAGCAACGTGTGGGAGAGCGTTGTCGAGTTGGAATACGACTCCCTGTGGCTGTTGCTGTATAAATGGCAGGACCACGGGCCTCAGCACCTCATCGATATACCGTTGTGCAGTTAAATTACCGTTGACGACAACAAGGTCAGTCCTCTGGTCACCGCATATGGCACTCCAGACCATGACGCTACCGCCACCATACGGCTCCGACTCCTGTACACAACAACGAGCTGTTCTTTCACCTCTCCACCTGTATACTCTAACTCTGCAGTCGGGCCTCGATAGACAGAATCTGCTTTCGTCAGAAAACAGTACCCTACGCCAGTCACGTAGCTGCCAACGTCTGACCTGTCTGGCCCAGCGTAGTCTCAACTGGCGTTGTCTATCCGTTCACAGCGTACCCCAGTGTGGTCGATAACATCTGATACCATGGGCACGAAGTCTTCTTGTTACTGTCCATCGACTCATGGGGTGACCGATTGCCGTAGCCTAAGATGCCGCCACCACCAGGAAGCGGTTCCGCAAATGCAACGTTCTCAGATGTCGGTCCTCCACTGCTGTTGTTACCCGGGGTCTGACTGTCCGTGGCCTGTCCGATGTCTGACCAGTCTGATTGAAGCGTTGACGAAGGTTCCTGACAGTAACTACGGAGCAACCAAACGTTGCAGCAACCTGACCAGTTGCAGCATTCCTATAGCCCTCTCTCGTTCTGCTGAACTTAAACGTGATTTCTTTTGTGGTAATCTCTAATGTCACGCGCCCACCTGTCGCATGCAATGGTTTTCTACCCTTTCCGCATTTTGCGTTTATTGCACAACACGTAATTTTCGCAAATCTCCCTACAAAAGTTGACTTTTGGTACGTTTGGTCGCACTCGTCCCCAAAATACAAACTCCTGTTTCATACGTGGCCGATGATGATTTTTATGGAGAAGCATGTACAATGTGAGTGACCTCTCCTAAAATGTATGTACAAAATTAATGACCACACCTCCCCATAATGTCCAAGCATAAGTTTAAACACATTTTATGTACAAAATTGCTCCCCCCCCCCCTCCCCAGCTCCCAGAACAAAATACCCAACCCCCTCTTAAAATCATCAAACACCAACACCACAAATGATCGCCCCCGTACTGGCAGACCAAGGGTGACCACAAGACGACAAAACCGCCATGTTGTGTGACAGCATGTACAGAATCCCTTCATGCAGGCATCCGAAACATCACGCCAGACAGTGGGAACACACGGAAGACCAATCAGTACTAATACAGTACGCCGACGTCTTAACAGCAGGAACCTCCATTGCCGTAGACCTTACCGTGGACCTATGCCCACCCCTCGTCATCGGCGTGAACGTCTACAGTTTGCCCAACAACACCAAAACTGGAGATACAGGCAATGGAGAACTGTTCTGTT